ATTGGAATGAGAATCATGTACCGAGTATTCTCCTTAAATATTGATAGTAATTCACCAGTCACCCTGTATATATAGTTAGTTAGATATATATAGATAGTTAGTTATATATATATATATATATATATATATATATATATATATATATATATATATATATCCTATTAACACGTCAAACCTAATGGTTCCTATTAATTATGAACTACAGAAAAATAATTATTAATAACTAGCTGTCGGCCCGCAGCTTCGCCCGCGCGGAGTTCGGTTATATCGCATTTCCAAGAAAACCTTTCAAAAGTCTGGGATAAAAACTATCCTATGTTTTTTCTCAAGGTCAACTCTATATCTGCACCAAATGTCATTAAAATCAGTTCATTGGTTTAGGCGTGAAAGCGTAACAGACAGACAGACAGTTACTTTCGCATTTATAATATTATTAGTAGGGATACTTAATACAATACTTAAGTTGCTCTTAAAGTAATAGAAAAATACGTATAAAGACAAATATCCTTCATTCAATCGTCATTTCTAAACCTATGAAATATAAAAAAAACTATTATTGACTCCCTATTTGTATCGCCTTATTGCTCAACTATTATTTGTTTTGGGAAATAAAATTAAATTGAAGTTAGCTTTATTTTATTCACCCGACAAACACAATCAACATTTATGAACATCTATACTTGCTCTAAAAACAGATATTGTTGTAATTTTAAAGAATTTAATCCATTAATTTTACGTAATAAGATTTTTTACGTCAAAAAAATGACATGACATCTGTCAAAAATTTGACATACTTTTTATGCTATGAGACTTCTTCTTCTTCTACCTGGCAATTTCCCAGCTATAGCCAGGGTCTGCCTTACATGTTATGAAAAGTGTTTGGCTCTTTGTTTTTACGACCGGCCGCCTGCCTGACATCAACCCTCTTTTGGGAATCAACATTAATCAGTTATGTCTAAATACTCTTAGAAAGTACATATGATTCGGAGAAATCACATTGGTACTTGCCCGGGCCAGGCTCGAACCCGCGCCCTCGGCGACGAGAGGCGGGCCCTTTAACCACTGAGCCACCACTGACCGCTACGAGACTTATGTTTTCGTTATAACGCCAAAGTACGATAAAAATATATCATGAATCCTACAGAACCATTTATATATTAATAATTTTATACGAAATGGGTAATATTAATAATATATTATAATCTCTCCTTCAAGGACAATATGAACTCTTAAGTATGTTTTTACAATACAAATCCTACGTTTAAGTATTATGTTGTCGAATCCAATATTCTGTACGCGTTCGCCATCTGTGTTGGACGTACGTATAATTTTTATTAATATTTTTAACATATCCTATTATAAAACATATTTTTATTTCATCTCAACATTGTTTTACATATTGCATATATTTCAAAAACATTTAAAAATTTGTTATTTCTTGGACATTTTAATTTTCGTAAGATGTAACCCTTTTAACTTTTTAATTCTTTTTGGATAGTATAAAACGTATTTTTTATTGAAAAATTATTTTAAATAAAAAAGGACTACTTTATATCTTTGGCTAAATCCGGTTTTTTTTTTACGAGAAATAATCATTTTTTAAAACGTAAATACTTTCATGACTCTTGTCGAAAAAAATATCGCGAATATTTTATCTGCAATTAAAATTTTATCAGTCTTCTATTATTTAGCGGTTTTTGATTAAAATGATTTATAACAAAGAAATTACGGTGAATAACATCTAGAAAATATTATATACAGGGTGACTGGTGAATTACTATGAATATTTAAGGAGCATACTCGGTACATGATTCTCATTCGAATTATGTAAAAAAAATAGGTACTTAATTTTTGACCAAATTTCCGTATAAATAAATAAAGTCTGGACACGTTCCAAGTGTTCCAAGTGTGTTCCAAGTGTGTGTGTGTATACCTAATCTGTAGGGTGTTCACACGATGCGTAATTAATTACATAAATTTTGGTTAACTTTACTTAGAAGTTTATTAATATTTATGTTATATTAATTTTTATTTTGTCATATTATATGATCGTCAAATATCACGTCCTCAAGTATCGATAGTAATTCACCAGTCACCCTGTATATATATTACTATTTATTACAATTGACCTCTACGTCTTATATACAGTGTTTTTTACCTACGCCGTTAGCCTTTTATTTAAGAACTAGAAGACCTGGCGAACTTCGTATCGCCCTAAAATCGAGAAATATTTATTACATTTTTTTATTTATATTTTTGGAGTTTACCTGTAAGCCATAAATCTCCTTGTTTTGAAATGCGACAGAATGATTGACATATTAGTTAGTTGTCAAATCTAATGTCAAAAAAAACGTTTGTATGGGAAATATAAAAGGGCTGTTTTTATGGTTTTTCCAGTAATGAATCAATTTTTTTCAGCTTTTATACCTTCCCTGAACCTCCATGAACATTTCAAGACTAAGATAAGATAAATCCGTTCAGCTGTTCTCGAGTTTTAGCGAGACTAAGGAACAGCAATCCATTTTTATATATATAGAAGATAAGCAAAATTAGCCAATTTGTCTTTTCACATAAAAATTTATTGTGGCATCAAAATATTTTTCACCTTTCATTATTTTCAAGGCCCATCATAATGACAAAAAATTTGAAAGTTAAATACATACGAATCATGAATTTAATATTAGTTACTTGTATAGAAGTTTTTTTTAAGAATTTCACTCACATAAATCAATCGTGACTTATTTCTGACTAAACAAATATTGTTTTCGTCTTACTGTTATTAATTATTTGTAATTAAAATAATAATTAAATTTTAATTTAAATGTTTCTTATATATGTGTTATATAATCCAAAAAGCTTCTCGGAAAAAATGTAAAATTTTTATGTTATACGCATACAAATAAGCAACATAAGTCTTTTATCCCAAATAAGCTCGGTAATTCAAAAGGTTTTTTTAAATTTACATTAATTTTAAAACAATTTAGTAAAACGTATTTTTCCAATCGTTATACCAGTATGACCATCATAACCTATATCTAGGTAGTAATAAAAAAGTTATATAACTATTTTTATTAATACTTCAATGTAAAGTTCAGCTATAATAAAATTATTTTCACAATATAAACTAAATTAAACAAGTTTTAATGTTTTAAAAATTGTATACCTGGCAATATATTACGTATTAATTAGTACAGATTATGTTTTGTTTATTTTTTTATAATTATTATTCATTTGAAAGAATTTTATATTTATCTTATACGAAAGAGCATTACCGTAATTTCTCCTTCTACCTCGCAATTTCCCATCTTTAGCCAGGGTCTGCCTTGTTGTGAATAGTTTTGGCTAATTGTTTTTACGACCGGCCGCCTGACATCAACCTTCTTTGGGAATGCATTAATCAGTGATGTCTAAATACTCTTATAAAATACATATGACTCGGAAAAATCACATAGTACTTGCCCGGGCCAGGATCGAACCCACGCTCTCATGCATGAGAGTTGGGCCTTTTAATCACTAAGCCACCAGTGACTTCACCACTGACGAACTTGCCGTAATTCAAGTCATGAAATGTAAATAATAAGAAAATTGCAAAACGGAATAAAAATGGATATTATGAGAAAATTGACAATGCTTGCAAAATATATAAAATGATTTTTTTCTTAGTTGCTTCTGAGTATTAGTCCAAAATGAAATATTGATAGGTTAATCCTAATATCTTCACATGGTTAAGATAAGGAATTGTATCAAAAAACCCATATTTAAGGATTAGTATATGAGAATTCAAGTTACTATAAAGGTAGAAGGTGCACCTTCGCATTTTTTTATCTTCTTTCGAGTGAAACGACCTCAGTTTTAATTAAAAACCATATTTTTTTTTGACATAATTTCTGTTTTTTTTTCTCCCTAAAATTGATCTTTTTTTAGTAAACATTACCCCATGTTAGCAAAAAAACCTCGTTTCGATTGTACATTCGGTTGTCGACATCATCTCCGTGGATGATTGACCTGAGTTTCGTTAAAATACAAAGTAAAATCTAATTCTGTATTAACCGTATAAGCTGTGATTTTACTTTTATCTAATCTACAAGTGAATATTGAATTTATAAAAAAGATAGTCGTGAAGTAGTCTTTAATGGCTGCGTTTCGTCCGATGAGTGAGAGAGACGGTTGCCCTATCCCTATTCCCTCCCATTCCCAACTTTTCCTTATTCCCTTCCCTCCGTTTTCCTCAATAACCAAGATTGGCAACGCATCTGTAACATAAGTTAGAGATGTCCATAGGCAAAGGTGACTACTGTCCATCAAGTAGGCCATCGTATTTGCCACTTTTAACATCTTCTTCTTCCTGGCAATTTCCCAGCTTTAGCCAGGATTTGCCACCTTTAACATAAAAAAAAGAAATATCTGTTTGATTGGAAATGGTGTCATTGTCGAAATATCTTTGGTTTTTCTAATTTTCTTGTCCAATTTTTAAGGAGAGACCAAACATTTTTATATTGTTAAAACATTTATTAGATAACAAGTCAAATATTATATAATAAAATATATACATATATGAAGAGAAGAGATTTAACTTGCATGTGTTACTTTACAGTAATAATGATCATACTTAAACATTTAACAATGTATTATTTTTTATACAAAAAAATGAAATTAACTTCAAATGTTTTTTAATAATAATTAAGTTTACAAACCATCATTTAAGGTATACCGTGACAATTTTGACATTAGTAGATTTTAGTTCAATGGGAATTATGTTTATAAAAAATTATTTCCAAGTGTCGGATAAATTAATAAACATTTCTTATAATGAACACAAAATAAAATAATCCTTATTATAAGTATTGCGTAATAACAAATAGTTTTCAGTAATCATTCATTTTTTCCATTTACGACGTATTAAGTTACGATTGAAATTTTTGTTAATTATTTACAATGACCTTTCGAAAACATTAATTAATTTTTTTTTTCACAGTCATGACAACATACTAAGGTGGAAAATGACGAATCAGTGTGAGGAAACAAAAAATCTTGGAATAGAGAACGAAAAAATCGGCTGCAATATGGAAATTGATGAAGGGGTAGCCAAGATGTCTGAAGTACAGAACTTTTATAACGGGAAGAATATTCTTATCACTGGAGCTACAGGTATTTTTCTCGGGAATGCAATCTAGATTAATAATCGATTGGATTTTCTATACTTTTTTTGTATGTAACCGTAAAAGATTTTTGTTGAAAAAATGTTTTTTTGTTATTAAGGAATCGTAAAAAGCTTAAATGAGGAAACCAGGGTCTAAGAGAAATCGAGTGGAATTTATCAAAATAATTATATCAGTTCTTAAAACTTTTACCTATTCTGATTAATGGAGATTTTAAATTACAATTCAGTTCACAAAATTTACTTTCGATATTTTCGTGTACCATTTTAAATACGTTTAATGTTCTTATTTGAAAATATCTTTGTCTGGTTTAGCCGTAACTAAAAAAAAATACCTAAAAAAGGCCAAAAAAAACAGGAGCCTAAAAAAACACCACAGATACTTATTGTTTTAGTTACTAAGTAATCCCTACTAATATTATAAATGCGAAAGTAACTCTGTCTGCCTGTCTGTTACGCTTTCACGCCTAAACCACTGAACTGATTTTAAAGAAATTTCGTACAGACATAGAGTTGACCTTTAGAAAGAACATAGGATAGTTTTTATCCCAGACATTTGAAAGGTTCTCTTGGAAACGCGATATAACCGAACTCCACGCAGGCGAGCTGCGGACGGAAAGCTAATTAATAATTATTCTCTAATTACTTTATAATTCTCAACTTGTTGACAGGTAATTGTTTATGTAGCCTTTGAACTGAATTTTATATTGATAGATATTTTAAAAATAATTACGTTATAGAAAAAATTAATGCATCTTTTTACAAAGTGGATATTAATTTAGAGGTAAACAAAAATAGAAGATAAATGAGACTAAGTTTTTCGGATATAATAGGTATTATATTATTTTGTATGTACGTAATGTCTGTTACACTTTCATGTCGTCTTAATGACCACGGTTGCTGTAAAGTAACCGAAACTTCGAGATCATGTAGATATAGAATAAGAAACACGTAGTATACGAAAATAATAGTTTCTTACTTTAAATTATAAAATAAAGAAATTTAACTTTGACTTTGTATTCCGTGTATTCTTTTTATTTTAGCGGTTAAAATATTTTCTTTCTGATTAAAAATTAAGTTTAGTTATTTAATAAATTTATAAAATTTTGCCAAAAATTGCTCATTTGTGTGAACTTAAGATATTAACTTTGTTACTATAAAATATTGAAACTAGATTTCACTGGTTCGTTTCTTAGATTTATATTTCAAATATTAAATTCTTCTTCTTCTACCTGGCAATTTCCCAGCTTTAGCCAGGGTCTGCCTTTCAAGTTCTGAATAGTTTTGGCTAATTGTTTTAACGGCCGGCCGCCTGCCTGACATCAACCCTCTTTGGGAATGCATTAATCAGTGATGTCTAAATACTCTTACAAAATACATACGACTCGGAACAATCACATTGGTACTTGCCAGGCTCGAACCCGCGCCCTCATGCATGAGAGGTGGGCCTTTTAACAACTAGGCCACCACTGACTATCCAAATATTAAATTATAAATCATTTATTTCTCACTCAAAACTCACTACTGATTGTAATATTAATTAATATCAAAACTTATTGAAATTATGCTTAATATATGTGACTATACTTATACATTCACGTTTTTGTTCAAACTTCTCTCACAGAAACTTTTCTTAGCAAAAACTTTTACAGATATCTTATAAATTGACTGATTTAGCTATTTCAGTTTTAGTTTATAAATCCTTTCAAAAAAAACTCAAATAATAATTACAATGATTACAAAATATTTAACAATTTATGTCCTATGACAGCAAAAATTGTATTAAAATATCTATTCTAGGGTTTCTCGGGAAAATATTGGTGGAGAAACTTCTCCGTAGCTGCTCGGGAGTTGAGAATTTATATCTATTGGTAAGACAGAAACGGGGAAAGGATATTTACACCAGGATAGAAGAAATATTTGATGATCCCGTAAGTAGAGAAAGCAGGAATCTTTTTAATGAAACTAATATTATTGAAACTACTAATTAAAAACTACATACTACATAATATTATATTTTTAAACCAAAAAATGGTTGTTTGTAAAGTAGGTTTACGATCGAGATGTTTACGTGATAACGTCTTATTGGTGATATAAGTTTTTGGGAAGTAAGGAATTAATGAAGATAACAATTTTTTAAAATTTTAAATTACATCTATCGTTTTAATCACACTTTTAATGATAAATTTCGGGTGTAAAATGACAAGTTTACTTATTCGACTATGATATACATTTTTCTACATTACTCCGCTCGTGAGGATTCCGCGTGACAAGTTTCACGGAATGACTGGCAGCGCTCGAGATGAGACGGGAGATGGGTCCGTCTCTCTCTCGTTATACCTGCGATCGCGCTCGTGAGGTTTTGGTGTGACACAAGTTTCTGAACATCTCACCCGACTAAAACGATTTTAAAGACGTTATCACGTCAAAAAACTCTATTATAGTGTTTTTTGTATTTTTTCAATTAATTTTATCTATTAATAGTGATACTATTCATGTCATATTAATTGGCAAATTTTGCATCAATTTTTCAGTCTGGAGATAAAAATATTTATTTGGTTATATTTATATAGTTAATTATCATACATTTTGTTTTAGATTTCTTTGTTTTTAAATATATTTTCTAAAAAAACATATATTTATAGCTAAAATATAAATAATTTCAACAAAAAAAGCAAAATTTTCCATATCTAGAAGGTTATTTTTAACTTCATATAAGTCGTTTCTACAACTTAGTAGTAATGTACTTATGTTAATGAAATTTTTCATAAATTAAAAATATCATAAAAAATAGTGCAGGCGTAATAATTTTTATAATTTTAAATGAAACAATTAGATAAACATTGAATATTTTTATATATCTTTACTGTCTACGAGTTTTGTTGACATAAATTTTTGTTACAAAAAACATTGCTTCTACCGATATTATGTTTTTCAATGAAAAGTTAATATTTAATATATAAAATATTAATGGTATTCATTATAGCTTCAGCATTAGCATATATAAGAAATGCATGCCAATCATTTTGTTTTGATAGACAGAACTAAAATTATAAATAAATTTGTACGCGACATACAAACAAATAAAAAAACACATTATAGGACAAATTATGATTTCGACGGTCGGTGGATGCAATGAAACAAAATTATTTGACTTAATTTAATTAAAAGTAAGTTACAACTAGGGTGCGACTATGTTGCACGAAGGTTGAACAAATAGTGACATTAATTTAATCAAATTCTTAAAAGAAATCTTATAATCTAAAAACATAAAAGAAATATAAAACCAAAAACTGTCTTCACACGGAACTGCTGAGTCAGACCGGTGTAGAATAGGCGAGTTTACCCTCAAGCTAAGGCGTCCTCTGATTACACCGTATAAAGATAATTATATTTTAATTAAACGACCACTTATTACACCGTCACATAACAGACATAATCAATACAAATTACATTTAAAAATTACTATTTATTAAATCAAATATTTCCTTTGTAAAGTTTAAATATGGATGTCCTCTAGTTACGATGACCAAGTTGCAATTTCATTGTGCATGGTCTTGTTAAACAAATATTGAAATAAAATAAACATTTGCCCCTCAAGCATTCAAGACGCCTTGGCCGTATTTATTCTGTCATATACTCTTTGACTAACAAGGATAAACTTGTTAAATATTTCTTAATACATAATAACTACAAAATAAATTAATCATAATCATGTCTTTTGTTGAAAAAAATACTGATTTTATTTAATGAGGCTAAAGCTAGGAAGAGACTGTGAATTATTTTGTTATATAGAATTAATATAAACTATTTATTTACGCAAATAAAATTCATTACTCCTAATTTTATAAAACTACATACGGGGCGTTAATAGTACGTGTTATTGAAGAAAAAAAACGCGAAAATCCTAGTTTGTCGCTTTCTAATGTCTATGCATACTTGGACTAAAAATCTGTATTGTTAAAGCATTTAAATAGTGTTTGTTGAAATCATTACATAATAAAATTGAGGCAAAATAAACACTCATACATTGACAATGTAAAACATATTAGTTAAACTTTGTTTTAAACATAAGTTACGAGGTTGATTAAGTATTGAAAATATTTAAATATTTACAGTTACATATCCTGCAAAGAAGTTTCGAAACGAAAACGGAGATTCATCGATGAATTTAGTGAAATTTTGAATCAAATGAAACGGCATAAAGGGGCTGTCCATTAATCACTTGAGGCTTGAAAGGGGGGGAGGGGTTTGATAAAAATCACGAAAATAATACAAGGGGGAGGGGGGAAGTAAGATATCTCGTGTATTTATTTCTTCGTTTATTATTATTGTTATGGCAATAAAAAAAACTTGCAACCTGGTGTACACATTTTTATTATGGTCCTTAATTTCAGAATAAAATAAGATTATAGTTTATACCTGTATTTAAATTAAGATAATATTCAGAAAATTTTAAGATTCGTTGTAGGTACTAAAAATACACGTGATGTTGAGAAGGGGGAGGGGGGGTGGTCTTAAACCTCACTACGTATCACCAATGGGGGCCGGGAGGGTTAAAAAATGCTAAAAAAAGATCACGTGATTAATGGACAACCCCTAAGCTCAATTTTTCTCCATTTTGTAACGAGACAATCAATTGCCGATCAAAACGAAAATGATAATCATATTATAGTCATTATTAACTGCCCCACTTTTCTTATACGTCTTATTTTCTCCAGGTTTTCGACCGTTTGAAGGAGGAGGTGCCGAAATTTAGGCACAAAATTGTCGTCATACCAGCCGATTGCGAAGCCGCCGGTTTGGGACTTACTATCAGTGACAGACAGACACTCATCGAAAAAGTACGTACATATATATTAAGTTTAGAATGAATATAGAAATATAACCTAGTTATAATTTATTTATTACATTTTATGAGTCTTGTTTATTATGTTAACACTATACCGCAGCTTTGTCTGCTTTTTAAATCTATTTTTAGAAGCAATTTCTCATTACTGTGACATTGCATAACATTTTCCGATCATAATTTGGCAATAATGCGTCAATATCAGTGATCGTATACTAGTAGAATATAAAAAAATCCTCTTTTAAAAGACGTTTAAGATATCCTATCTTAAGTCAGTACTTAACAAATTAGTCTGAATTTCTTCAAAATCTGTCCAACCGCTAGTTAAAAATAAGAAATAGTATCGTATATAATTTTATATGCGTTTAAGGAAATCTGTAATATGAAATATAAACAGATACTTGTATTTTATTTATATGTATATAATTCTTAGTATTCTCTCAGTATATTTATTTTACAATGACATGAAATACTATTGGCAGTGTACTCATAAATATTAATTTATTTAATACAATAAATAAATATCAAGTACCAATGTGATTTTTCCGAGTCATATGTACTTTCTAAGAGTATTTAGACATCACTGACGGTGAAAGAAAACATCGTGAGGAAACATGGACTTATTTTCACAATTATAAGTTTGAAATCACCAACCCGTCTTGAGCAAGCGTGGTGATTAATGCTCAAACCTTCTCCATGTGAGAAGAGGCTCAGGAGTGGACTCTGATAGGCTGATGATTTCAAATATTTTGTATGACGGAAGAAATTCTTGCATATTTTTCAAAATTGACAGATTGTTATAGATAAAAAATGCTGAAATTCTTCTTCTTCTACCTGGCAATTTCCCAGCTATAGCCAGGGTCTGCCTTACATGTTGTGAATAGTTTTTGGCTATTTGTTTTTACGACCGGCCGCCTGCCTGACATCAACCCACTTTTTCATAAAAAATGATGAAATTATTATTTCATTACTTATTTTGTCCATCATTCTTTCTTGTTTAAAACAACTTCTACGATTATCGTAAATAACTAATTCGTATTTATTAATACACTTCCTCATTCAGTTAAAATTATAGATACTTTATAATAACTTAGACAATCTAGAATTTTAATTGATTTGAAAGAATTATTATGTTCCTTATAAAACTTACCTATACACATGTATGTATAATGTATATGCCTTTTAAAAGTTTTGCTTATTGTATTTTTAATCTGAAACAGATCTCGCACTTATGTTATGTCTTCTTCTTCTACCTGGCAATTACCCAGCTTTATCCAGGGTCTGCCTTACATGTTTGTTAATAGTTTTGGCTATTTGTTTTTACGACCGGCCGCCTGCCTGACATCAACCCTCTTTTTGGGATTCAACATTAATCAGTGATGTCTAAATAGTCTTAGAAAGTACGTATGACTCGGAAAAATCACATTGGTACTTGCCCGGGCCAGGATCGAACCTGCGCCTTCGGCATCGAGAGGCGGGCCCTTTAACCACTAGGCCGCCACTGATCTCGCACTTATGATAATAATTTATTGTGTAAATCGATTCCATAGATTGTCAATTATAATATATTTTGTAAAGTCAAATATTAGTGTGACACTTAACGGTCTATAAAAATCCAATCATATCGAAGTAATCCATTGTCTATTATTTGAAACCTGAGTTGATCCTTCATTATATATCTATTTAAAATATAATAGAATTTAATTCTAAAAGTTTTGCCTACTCTACTTTTATTTTCACTCACACAAATGCAAAGCTCAGCGTAAACCAAACTATACCAATGTCTTATGTTGTTTTTTTTACGATACGATAAACTACAGACTGAAAGTGTGTAAGTAATGTTCAGATGTAACGAAATATAACTTACTAAGGTTATTCTATGAATAGTTTTTGTCATACGATTCTCATTAGAGAGACGAAACCTCTTAGCATTCAATGTATTCATATGCGTGTGTCGGGTCCATCGTTGTAGTGAGAGAAGCTTCAACAGTGACTGTGACTTGTGACCCAGATGTAGGTTTAAGGGGCCCCTTAACTAACGCGTGTTATACGCTCACCTCCACTGTCCAAGCTCCTCTCCCTACCTAACCAAATTTGAAAAGAACCTACTAGGGCTGTCTTCGACGTACGTTCCAAGAATGAATTAATGTTAGTTCTGGACAGGCCCAAGTCTTTTAGTAGGTTGTAGAGAGATTTAGCTGTTATACCTCTCGCTCCCACCTCTACCGCGTACAAATCAACGACGAACCTATTTCGAGTTAGTTCGTTAGTGAGCTCGTAATATTTATTGACCTTGATGGCATGGTCTTTGGGGATGTTGGTTTCCCAAGGCACCGTAAGCTCTATCATCACAACGCGCTTTAAAATACGCGAATATAGAAATATGTCTGGTCTGGAGGCCGACGCACAAATATCCTCGGGGATTTTGTATTATTTCTCATACGTATCCATTATGATAGTTCTCATGTATAATTTACACTAATTTCTTATGTATAGTTTAGACTATTTCCGATGTATAATTTATAATAATTCTGATGTATAATTTATTTTCTATAGGTAAACGTAATATTCCATTCTGCGGCTACAGTGAAATTCGACGAACATTTGAGAGCTGCTCTGGCCACGAATGTGTGTGCGCCACTCTACCTACTGGGTTTGGCGAGGGAGATAAGAAAACTAGAGGTTATTATAAAAACAAGGAATTAAAAATAATTATATACAATGAAATATTCATATACGTGATTAATTTACAAAGATATTTTTATATGACGTGTGCTATTTATGTGTTGAGCACAAATAAATAAATATTTATTATTTTAGTTTCAAGTCTAATTGCTTTAGTTGAAGAGTAAAACTTCGGGTTAAAATATGGTTCATGTGATAAAACAAAATCTGGTTTGTCCTGGTTTTAGTGGTTCAAATTGCAACTTTCAAATATCGATCTAAAGTATGAAATTAAATGAAAAAAATAGATTTTTATAAAGAAAATTGGAAAAAAAAATATAAATAATATCTATCTTAACGATGTTTTAACGAACATTTAGTAATATTTAAATTTTGCATTATTTATAGTAGTATTGAATATAATTTTATCGTATAATCAGTATTCGCTTCCTGATTGGAATTGAAATGTTGGCTTAGTTTTTGTTTCATTGTATATTATTACATGTAAAATATCGTTTTAACTGTAATATATAAATAAAATAAAATATTTTAAATATCAGTTTATTAAAATAATATTCGTCATTCATTCATTCCTTAAATATGTATTCTTATAGGTTTTCATTCACATATCCACCGCGTACTCAAACTCCCATTTGTCATACATTGAGGAGAAGTTTTACCCTTGCGAGGTAAATAGCGGTAAACTGCAGAAGATGATTGACAAAATGACAGACGAACAGATAAACAAGATATCTCCTACGTAAGTATTCATTATTATACAGGGTGACTGGTGAATTACTATCAATATTTAAGGAGAATACTCGGTACATGATTCTCATTCGAATTATGTAAAAAAAAATAGGCACTTTATTTTTGACAAAATTTCCGTATAAATAAATAAAGCGTGGACACGTTCCAAGTGTTCCAAGTGTGGACGCGTGCGGCGGCGTGCTGATACAACACCACGCCGCCGCACGCGTGTGTGTGTGTGTATACCTAATCTGTAGGGTGTTCACACGATGCGTAATTAATTACATAACTTTTGGTTGACTTTACTCAGAAGTTTATTAATATCTATGTTATATTAATTTTTATTTTGTCATATATGATCGTCAAATATCACGTCCTCAAGTATCGATAGTAATTCACCAGTCACCCTGTATAATTAAATGTATAATTATTAATATTTTATTTAATTCATTTTTTTTAATTTAGCTTAATTTATTGATTTGATTTAATTTTTTAATTATAATTGAATGCAATTAATGTATCTTTTGCCACTATTTTTGTGATGATTATGCCGTGTACACATAATTAGGAATGTGATAATGTTAAGGATAATTTTTAGACTAACTAATACGTACCTAATTATGATTATTTTCTGTTTGTGTGCCTAAATAAATATTAAATGCTCGTTTTGAGTAAGTCACAGTAAGCCCACTGTAAATGTCTCAATATAAAGTTTATTAAGTAAATGATATATGTATTTAATGTATTACATCAGTGTTTTAGGTTCGTGGCCAAATACTTACACGTTCACAAAAGCGTTGGCGGAGAAGGAATTGAGAGAAAACTCAAAGAACATACCTCTTGGTATCTTCAGGCCGGCAATTGGTAAATAAATTATTACATTATAATTTCTATAACTTTCGAATTCATTAATATAAAAATATCGTATATTTTCGGATGTATTACGCATTTTTTATTATTTTAATCTACTTTTTCGGTTACTTTACAGTAATAATCATTAAAACGAGTTGATAATATTTATCTGTTGGTCCTATTATTTATTTTTCTTAAACTATAGCTTGGTCACAAACAAAATATTCCACGATTCCAGTGAGAATGCATTCAATATTATAATAAAAAGACAAATTGACAAATATTTTCATATCTTCTACCCTTTATCGCGATTACTACAAAGTAACCGATACTTTGGGCTTATATAGTGTAAAAAATACAAAAAATCCGAAATTATTAGTCATATTTACAAAAAAATTACGTTCTATTAAAGCTATATAGCTTAATGACCTTTGCAAATACAGTTTTGTGTAAACATATGTAGTATACTTAACCACAATCCTGGTCAATAGTCGTAATCTAAAGCACATTACAAATAGATTTGATGGAATTAGAGACGAATCAGCAAGCGGGAAGCAAGTTTTTGTACTTAAAGTTATTGTTGTCTACTTTTGTTTTACAATAATTCTACTAAAACATTAGACTTTTATAAATATTTATTTATAATCATTCTTCTTTTAATGTTTTCGTAATGAATCTTGAGATATTAGGCATCGTACCAACGAAATCATTTAAATCAAACAAATTAATTACAATGAAGAAATTTGAGAACTAAATCTACCAAATAGGAGTTCCTTTTAAAAATATACGCCTTTGATGTCAGGTCAACTTCTTTATACAACTGTAATTCAAGAATTACATAGATGAACGTACTAATAATTTCAAATAACTCAAAGATTTATCTTCGGCATATAGGAATCATTATTTAGGCTTTTATAAAGTTAATTTGAACGAGAAATATTCGCAAAATTGTAAATGAAGAACGCTTATATAAATTTACAGCATATTTTTATATTTATAATAATAACTATCTTTCCGCTCGCAGCTTCACCCGCGTGGAGTTCGTTTATATCGCGTTTCTAAGAGAACCTTTCAAAAATCTGGGATAAAAACTATCCTATGTTCTTTCTCAAGGTCAACTCCATCTCTGTACCAAAATTCATTAAAATCAGTTCAGTGGTTTAGGCGTGAAAGCGTAACAAACAGACAGACAGAGTTACTTTCACATTTATAATATTATAATTATTATGTTTCAGTGACATCCACTTTGAAGGAACCATTGAAATGTTGGCTCGACAACATGTACGGCCCCACGGGTGTCGCTGTTGGTACAGGTAAGATTAACATAAAAAATATCGATATATTTTTGATAATAACTTCAAAATTTTCATTCTTATCTATTATTAAATGAAATTGTAATTCATTAACTTTGTTTTAACAATTTTTTCGATCGAATTATTTGAAGAAATCATTCATTGAAGAGATATAAAATTAGTTCCACATTATGGATACTACAGGCATTCCTATAACAGGAACTAAAGGTTTAATCAAAAAATATAAAAAAGTATTTGAAATATAGCTTTTCTCTCTAAAATATACTTCGTTTGAGTTTATTTTATGGCATATTTAATTAATATATCAATTTGTTTAACAGCGACAGGAATGCTCCGTACAGTTCAGTGTGATAAATCAGTGACAGCTGATCTTGTACCAGTGGACTCCGTAGTCAACTGTCTTATAGTAGCAGCTTATAATGTACATAGAGAGTTTGTTAAAAGGTAATTATAATTATATATATAATTTTTCTGTGAGTGTGTGTCACTGAACTTCTCTCAAACGACTGGACCGATTTTGATGGAATTTTTTGTGTATGGGGATCTGGGAATAGTTTAGATTCACAGTTTTGTCCGCTAGACAATGTTTTTTAATTAATTTATTACTAGTTGTTGATACAAACGTTTACTTCAAAACACGGAGATTTATGTCTTTAATAGGTAAACTCCAAAAATATAAATAAAAAACGTAACAGATATTTCTTGATTATAGGGCGATACGAAGTTCGCCGGGTCAGCTAGTTATATATATACTAGCTGCGCCCTGCGGTGTTACCCGCGGATTTCCGGGATGTAAAGTAGCCTATGTGCTATTCCTGGATGTCAGCTTCATGTATACAAAATTTTAACAAAATCGCTTCAGCCGTTTGAGCGTGAAGAAGTAACAAACATACACACACACTCACAAACTTTCGCAATTATAATATTAGTAGGATATATATCTATCTCGCAAAGTTATATTTATCACACATTCTTCTATTTATCATCTCATTCCGCAAATCCTCGGAAACGACTGAGCCGATTTTGATACGACATTTACAAGAATAGATGTTATAATAAGGAATAACCTGGGTTTTTGTTTGATTTTTTTTACTTATTTTTATTGCTATACATAAAAAAATAACTATCCAAATAGAATAAAACTGCAGACATAGTTATTTCACAGCATTATGTATTTAAAAACACGCAAAATGTATCGAGTTAGTGAAATATTATTTTTATTTGGTCAAAAAATATATATTTATAAATTTAAATGAAACATATATTTTTCGGATGTACTACGTGACTTTATTTTTGTAAAATCTAGATACTCCCGACGTTTCGGCTACTTTTAAGCAACCGTGATCATTAAGACTAGATGTGTTGGGGAAAAATATGTTTCATTTAAATGAATAAAACTCGAATATCTCATTATATATTTAATTAATTTTCTTTGTATAATATTATAATAATTTAATTAAATTAACAATTATTAATTTCAGCCCACCTCAAGAACCGCCGATTTTTAACTACGTTAGCTCAGTAGAAAATAGAATCACTTGGGGCGATTTTACCGATTTAAATATGGCGAGAATCGACAAACATCCGTTCTCTAACGCTGTCTGGTAAGTATTTAATATAAGCTTGATTAATTAAAAAATCTATGATAGTCTAAATAATTTAGTTGGAATAAACCGAAAAAAAAAAACTTCAGGTGTATTACTATTTTTTATGAAAATAACACCTCATAATATTCATTAATTTTACAAATATAAAAATATATTTTAAGACGTGTATTTAATGAAAGTCAGTAGTGGCTTAGTGGTTAAAAGGCCCGCCTCTCATGCACGATTGCATGGGTTCGATCCTGGCAAGTACCAATGTGATTTTTCCGAGTCATATGTACTTAAGAGTATTTAGACACCACTGACAGATAAAGGAAAATATGAGAAAACCTGGACTGATAATTTCCAATTATAAGTTTGAAATCACCAACCCGTTAAGCAAGCGTGGTGATTAATGCTCAAACCTTATCCATGTGAGAAAAGGCTCAGCAGTGGGCTCTGATAGGCTGATAAATAATGAAATTGTATTTAATATTTTCATTATACATCTTTATATGGATAATCTAGTAAGTGTATCATTTATACAGGTACGTGTCACTTACTCTGAACAAGTCGTCTTTCGTGAATGCAGTCTGCGTACTTTTCCTACACTTACTCCCGGCGGCACTAGTTGACGGACTAGCTGTATGTGTTGGAAAGAAACCACAGTAAGACAATACTTATAATATAACTATATATGAAATTCCATTTAACTATAAAAATACTCATATATAGAGAAAAATAACTTGATTTTTTCAAATGAAGATGATTTTTATCATAATATTATTCTCATACTTATAATATATACATAACTAACTATATTTGGTATTCCATTTAAGTATAAAAATAACTTGATTTTTTCAAATTAATATAACTTTAATCATAAAATTATTATCATTGTAATTATTTTTTTGTTTTAAACAGGATGTTAAAAGTTTATAGAAAGATACACAAGTTTTCATCTGTGCTCTCATACTTCTGTACAAAAGAAATTAAATTCTGTAACAAAAGAACCAGAGAATTATGGGAAAGTACGTCTCAGACAGACAAACAGGTATTTGATTTGTTTTATAAATAATTTTCATGAACTAGTTTGTATGACTTTTTATAAAAAATTGCCTTAAAATTGCTAACTACTTGAAAGATAATTAGAACTAAAATTTTCGCGAGTACTCATTTAAATGATCTTTCGTCTTAATGATCACGGTTGCTGTAAAGTAGCCGAAACGTCGGGAATATGTAGTTTATAATCAGAAATAAAAAATCACGTAGTTAATCCGAAAATATTAGTTTCATTTACTTGAAAGATGTTGAACATTATGTACGCGTACGTTCGTCTAACGAATACTTGCCAAATTAGTTTTCTAGAGTGATTTCAGTCACGAAGAGTGCCTAATATCCTATCAAAAATAATCTACGTTCCTTTTTCTGAGTCTACCTACAAAACGAGTCAGTAATTATTAAGTTGTACACTTGAAACATAATAAAATCTCATGCTTTCACTAACTTTGTTCCAGATATTTCCATTCAGTATGGCTGAAGTATCCTGGTCCTCATATTTTGACGACTACCTAGCGGGCATCAGACGGTATTTGTTTAAAGAGAGCGATGACACTCTTCCAAGAGCGAGACGCAAGTGGACACGGTCAGTAACAAAATAACAAACAAATTAAACTTTTAATGAATACTGAATCCATTTTGAATTAAAGAGTGGTAGAGCCTAGCTTTAGTTAAGCAATTACAGCTCGAACATGGTCTGTCTCGACCGTAAGTACCACCCTCTCACAGAAGATCGGCGTGAAGTAGTCTTTAATGGCTGCGTTTCGTCCGATGAGTGAGAGAGACGGTTGCCTTTTTCCTATTCCCACCCTTTCCTACTATTTCCCTATTCTCACACATCCCTTTTCCTCAACAATCTACTTCTCGCTATTTATAAAGCCAATGTTATGAAATAAGTTTGCAAGTACGGTTTTTAATTCTTACACACTCATTATATTAAATACTTAGTTATTAACTCGAAAGAAGAAATATATCAATGTCTTTCGCTTTTTTGATGAATAAAAAAAATAAGGAATAATAAATATTATTCTTCACATATCAAATCTATCATTTCTAATTTGTTTATTTTTGATAGATAAAACATTGATCAAACATTTCATTTATATATATATTTCATTTATATATTTTTTTTAAAATTTCCTTAAATTTATATAATCAAAATATGTAATGTGCACTAAAATTAATTTTTCATTTTCCAGATTATATTATCTACATCAGATAGTCCGCATCGTGTTCTGTTTGTTCGCCATTTATATTCTGTGGTGTTTAATTTCGCGGGTTTTGTGATAAAAACCGTCAAAATAAGCACGTCAAAACAAACCAAATATACATATATATCCGCTTCATTTATCGCAATTTTTCATTTATAACTTGGTAATCTGTACAAAGCTGTATATAGGTATATTTAAATGTAAATTAGTTCTTAGACATTTTATAAAGAAATATGATATTAATCTATATGACGTATTGTTTCAGTCTAAGTTTTAATATATTGATGACATTGCTAGCTTAAGATCTTTATTGTACAGGTATAAATATCTTTAGAACATGTAAAAACATTTGTAATCTATAGATAATATGTGAAATAAAAAAAATGGTTGTTCTTATACTTTGTTTCATTGTCGCCTATTTCTATAAGTATGGTGAGTCTAATAAATCATTATACGGTTTTACCTATACCTGATGTTTTATAATTGAAAACTGAACAAATTTTAGGCGTTTAAATAAATCGTGACTTTCATTCCATAATTATGTTAAAATTAGTGTTTCTGTCAAAAATATTGCGACGAAACTTCTCAGCATTCAATGTATTCACCGTGCTAGTGTCGGGTCCATTGTTGTAGTGAGAGGAGCTTCAACAGTGACTGGGACTTGCGACCCAGGTGTAGGTTTAAGGGACCACTATCCAATTAATAAGTATCCACGTTGTTAACTATAAATGTTGTTTCATATTATAATGAAAAATCTTTTTGTTAAATTTCCATTCACAATCTAATTAACACATTAAAAAGCTTGTTTTGATAAATAAAACAAAAGTTACTAGAAAACTTTATTGCAACAAAAATGGCTAAAACAAAACTGCAAGTACTAACGCGTCAAACTACAGGTGAATCCGAAAAAACATTAAGTACAAAAAACACACTAATATTACAAAAATTCCTTATATTTACTTTAAAAAGTATAAAATGCTGACACTGGAATGAAAATTCAATTAATTTCACAACGACAACTTCATTCCTACTCAAAATTGTTAAAAAACATCTAATTGATAATTGTATAGTTAAAAATAATTTCTATTTAATATCTATTCTCAAAAAGGGGCTTAAATTTCTTATTACAATATATTTGAAACACACAAAATTGTAATAATCGTCACAAAATCTATCAAATCATTTCTTAGTCTAGATTCTCACAGAGTTAACTCAGTCTCAAGTACTTCATATTTTTCTTATACTAAATTATTTAATTGTATATAAATTATATAAAAAATTTATTGATATGAAACTGTAGTCTACAAAAGTATTTCAGCTTGGAGGAATTACTAAAAGAAATTTATAAATTTAGGCAAAACCAAACAAAGATTGCTTTGTTCTATATAATTTTGTTATTGTCCGATATATTCTATAAAATTTTCATTCATAAATAATGTATTTAATTCATTTGAAAATTTATTTCTTGTTGTATATAAAATTACAAAAATTTTAATCTAATTCGAGAAGTATTATTTGTACGAACTTTATAAACTACACATATATGAGTATCATCAAATTGATAATAACTATGACATATAAAAAACACTATTTTCCCTTATTTTTGAGCTGCCATTATCTTTAAAATGTCTAGTTAACATACATACATAAACAAAGCGCTCATGAGAATAATTTTAACTTATAATGTTAAGAATGCTAATAGAATGGCCATGGTTAGCGTAATTAAATCGATCTTCGCCCACCACGCCGCGCTGCTGAATAGCGGGTCACGCCTTAATCCAGGGAAATTAATATCTGCCACCGGGGATTCTGGAAATACATATAAATGAAATCAGTATAAGTAATATAAAAAAAATGTACTCAAAGTTGATAGTTGACTTTAACAGAGTTTTGATTAAAGATAAAATGTTGCTATATTTTGATATGAAATTCAATTATAAATAATTATTGGTGGCATTTGCAACATACATGCCGCAAAAGAAAAACATATAGCTATCCTCAACAAGAAAATTATAAAAAACTCTACTATTTACATAATTTAGCATAATATTTTATAAACTTTTTTTCACAAGCATGCAATAGCTCGATTACTTCAAACACAATGGGCCATAAGCCTAACAAAAGAAAAGGTTCTTGCCAAATTACACATAATTTATAACAAAATTAACGTTGACCTTACTCATTGTGGTAATCATCACTGGATAGTGTCTGATAAATTGATACTCAACCACAGACATACTATCACAGAAAGAATGACACACAATCATTTATACTAATATTATAAAGCTGAAGAGTTTGTTTGTTTGAAAGCGCTAATCTCCGAAACTACTGGTTCGAATTGAATAATTCTTTTTTTGTTGGATAGTCCAGTTATCGAGGAAGGCTGTGGGTTATATAACATCACGCTACGACCAATAGGAGCAAAGATATAGTGGTAAATGTGTAAAAAACGGGAGAAATTATTTCATCTTTGAAGCCTTCCGTTGCGTGCGCCGTGAAAACGATTCAAGATACACAAAAAATATGTATTAAAGAATAATAGCTCTTTCAATGATCTAAAAAACACTCCGCGACAGTATATGTCTATCTTTTAAGATTAACTCACAAAAACCGTTTTTATGGTACCTAATTTGGTCGAAATAATTTGTTTAAGTTGTATCAACATAATAATATTAATCTTTATTCAAATAAAGAAATAAATATCGTGTTGGATCAGAGTACTTTATTGTGAATTAAAAAAAACATAGGTTTTATTCTGAAAATTCTACGGGAACTCGACCATTCCGAAAACCCCGCAAGAACGGGAACTATGTGGGAAGAACCAAAAATCTGCCGGAAGTCACTATTCCACGCGGACGAAGTCGCGGCAAAAGCTAGTACAATATATAGATCAAACTCACCGTCTCCATATTACATAAAGTCCTACAACTGTGATGAGTTCGCTCGCTTTCCCGACACTCGCTGCTCCATACCTTGCTTGTCCACATGCAGGCGGACAGACAGGTATAACGGATTCTATAAAGATCATGCGAAGCTATATATATTATATATATACATACAAGCCACATATATATATATATAATTTTAGAAGCATACTTTTATATATCCCATTTAAAAGTCAGTGGTGTCGTAGTTGTTAAAAGGCCCGCCACTCATACATGAGGGCGCGGGTTCGATCCTGGCAAGTACCAATGTGATTTTTTCGAGTCATATGTACTTTAAGAGTATTTAGACATCACTGATTAAAGAATTCCCAAAGAGGGAATTCCCGTTCGTAAAAAACAATTAGCCAAAACTATTCACAACATGTATGGCAGACCCTGGCTAAAGCTGGGAAATTGCCAGGAAGATGACTTTCATATATCACATACAAATTTAAAGATAGTCTATATAAGGTAGAGAAATATAAGATTATGAAAACATGGCTAATTTAATATTTAAAGATAATTGTTTTAAATTTACTGTTTGATTCACCATTTAAAATAAAATTAATAATGAATACTGTTAAAAAAATATTTTTGCTTATTAAGGATCTGTTTCGTAAAAGTATGCTTATAAAATATAAAAACACAATCTGAAACAAAATTACTAGCACAAAATAAAATCACATTTCAATAAGGCAACTTGCAAGATATTTTTAACTGTATAGTTAACGAAAACTGTGTTAATTAAGTTTTTAGTTGATAAAACATTTAAACCATTGGTTTTTAGTTAAATTTTAAACTTACAGTTTTCGTTACTTATATAATGTAACTAATAGCGTCAGCTTTAGGCATTCACGTTTATCCCTACTAATATTATAAATACGAAAGTAACTCTGTCTGTCTGTCTGTTACGCTTTCAAGCCTAAACCGCTGAACTGATTTTAATGAAATTTTGTACTGAAATAGAATTGACCTTGACAAAGAACATAGTATAGTTTTTATGAAAGACTTTTGAAAGGTTCTCTTGGAAACGCGATATAATCGAACTCCACGCGAGCGGAAAGCTAGTTCTTAATAAAATCGTATAATTTAAAAGATCAACATTTTTTTTCATTAACTTTATAGTAATTTTTCACATTGGCGTCAAAATTATGACATTTTAAATACTTTTAATTTCTTAATAATGCCTTATAGCAACAAACAATTTCACTACCATTCATAAAAAGCTAAAAAAAAAATCTTTCTATGCTTAATATTGTATATATATTGAAAATAAATATATCATCGCCTCGCTACGCATAATCAGTAATCTTAATACGAGCTCACACCAAACTAAACACAGTTCAATCTTAAATAGATTCACAACCAAATTATATTAAAATTTTTATTCTATTACATTAACTATATTTTAGACATCACTAATTAATGCTGATTCCCAAAAAAGGGTTGATGTCAGGCAGGCGACCGGTCGTAAAAACAAATAGCCAAAACTATTCACAACATGTAAGGCAGACCCTGGCTATAGCTGGGAAATTGCCAGGTAGAAGAGAAGATAACATTAACTATATGTTTAATTAGATGTGCCCACTCGTAGTTAAAATCCAGGCAAAGCCATATAAATGTATATATACCAAATAGTTCAACGACTCCTTCATCGCTGCCCAATTTGTTTTGTGCTCTACACTTAAATTGTCCGTATTGTCGTTTCTCTATAGTAATAACTCGTAAAGTCGTGTCAGTAAATTCATCTGCGGTAGCGAAGTGTGAAATTCTGAAAAATAATATATAAATAATTAATTTTAGGTAAATATGATAGACTTGAATAATATTGATATTTAATTAAGTTACAGTCACATAAAGATATAAAACATGTTTTAGTAAATCATTATTATATTATACTAGTTTTTATGCGCGACTTCGTCCGCGTTAATAAGATTAAAATTGCGAAAGATTGTGAGTGTGTGTGTGTATGTTTGTTACTTCTTCGCGCTCAAACAGCTCAACCGATTTAGATAAAATTTTGTATATAGGAAGCTGACGTCCAGGAATAACACATAGGCTACTTTACACCCCGGAAATCGGCGGGTAACACCGCGGGGCGCAGCTAGTTAGTAATATATGTATAGCTGTCCGGGCGAACTCTACTCTGTCTTACATAACCAAGTATTGGTATTTATTAAATTTTTCCTGTTTCAATCAACAGAATGATTGACATATTAGTTAGTTGTCAAATCTAATGTCAAAAAAAAACGTTTGTTTGGGAAATAGAAACGGGTTGTTTTTATGGTTTTCCCAGTAATGAATCAATTTTTTTCATCTTTTAAACCTTCCCTGAACCTCCACGAACATTTCAAGACTAAGATAATATAAATCTGTTCAGCCGTTCTCGAGTTTTAGTGAGACTAACGAACAGAAATTATTTTTTATAAATATAGATAACTCCAAATAATTTTGTAACAACCCTTATTACAAGTTTGTAAATCACACTACATACATACAGTTAATAGTTTATTAATTATTTACGAAGTGTTGTATGAGAAACGGGAAACATTACGTATGTAGTTTGATCGTGAAAACTTGGATTAAAGTTATCAAATATTGTAGATAATACAATCGAAAAAATATATCCTAGTTTATGACCTCGACATTGTGTGTGTTGTTTTATTAAGTCTAGGCTACCATTAAAGTTTCATCAAGATCGGTTCAGTATTTTATAAAGGTACTAAAAGACCCGGCGAACTTTGTAACGCCCTATAATCAAGAAATATCTGTTATGTTTTTTATTTATATTTTTGGAGTTTACCTATTAGAGCCATAAATCTCCGTGTTCTGAAGTGCGACAGAATGATTGACATATTAGTTAGTTGTCAAATCTAATGTAAAAAAAACGTTAGTATCAACAACTACTAATAAATTAAAAATTTATTAAAAAACATTTTCCAGCGGACAGAATTGTGAATCTAAACCATTCCCAGATCCATGTCCATCTAAGACATACACACTCACAGAAGAATTATATATATGTATAAAGATTTTCTTTACCTGTAATGCTGATTATTTGATAATGCGTATTCGTCTTTAAGCCAAGTAATAGCGGGAGGTGGGTACGCTTCCACGTGACATTCTAAGTCCATATCATATTGAAGAGCCTGGAAATAAAAACACACATATATATATATAGGCATACCCTGGCTAAAGCTGGGAAATTGCCAGGAAGAAGATATATATATATATATATCCATTTTTCTATTTCCTTTTGTATTTTTAAGATGCCTATGTCGAAAGACAAGATATTTTTGAGCTCATCATCATTAAATTATAAGTAATTACATTATACAATTATGCGAGTTCTATCCTGGCAAGTACCAATGTGATTTTTCCGAGTCATGTGTACTTTATAAGAGTATTTAGACATCACTGATTAATGCATTCCCAAAGAGGGTTGATGTCAGGCAGGCGGCCGGTCGTAAAAACAATTAGCCAAAACTATTCACAACATGTAAGGCAGACCCTGGCTAAGGCTGGGAAATTGCCAGGTAGAAGGAAGGTATACTATACAATTAGATTAATAAATAACTAATGAGCTGAGTAAGAAATCCCTCTTACTATTAAATTGAATTATCAATGTGATACTCATAGTTTTTTAGATATTAGTAAAGATGAATGGAATAGTCTTGTAAAATAGAATAATACTTATTTACATTGATTTTAATCGATTTTTTAACACAATTACTCCTTTTACTTTTTATTATGATTATTTTCTTCAATTATTTCTTAATCATACAGGGTGACTGGTGAATTACTATCGATACTTGAGGACGTGATATTTGACGATCATATATGACAAAATAAAAATTAATATAACAAATATTAATAAACTTCTGAGTAAAGTTAACCAAAAGTTATGTAATTAATTACGCATCGTGTGAACACCTTACAGATTAGGTATGCACACACACACACACGCGTGCGGCGGCGTGTCAGCACGTCGCCGCACGCGTCCACACTTGGAACGTGTCCACACTTTATTTATTTATACGGAAATTAGGTAAAAAATTAAGTACCTATTTTTTTACATAATTCGAATGAGCATCATGTACCGAGTATCCTCCTTAAATATTGATAATAATTCACCAGTCACCCTGTATAGTTCCATAAATTAGTTTTTTTCATATACCTGTCCTAATCTAGGTTTCGGTACAGTCACAACAGGTGAGAATTCAACTTCTAAGTTAATATTTCTCCTCGCTCCTTTGCCAACGCCGTTCTCAGCTACACAATAATAAGTTCCACGATCTTCTTTATGTACTGATGCTATGTTTAGGATGTTACCACTGAAAATTTAAATATATATATAGAAATACATATATATTTTATTTGTTTTTTAAAAAACATATGGATTGCAGCGATACTTAAGGAAATCCTCATAATTTTAAAACAATAATTTCTGATAAAGTATGCATATTTTATTATTCTATATCCACATGATCCCGATGTTTCATGGACATTCAATATTAAAATGTCTGTCATTATTTTAGTCTTGTTATTTGAAGACATATTATTATGAAAACATTAGATTATCATATTATATACAACTTGTTTTGTCATACAGTTAGTTAACTATGAACATAGATGTATACCAAGCAATGCTTTATAATAACTCAAACTAAATTGAAACGTGTTTGTGTGTGTGCGCGTGGATGTGTGTATATATGTGTGTGTGTGTGTGTGTGTGCGCGCGTGGATATGTGTATATGTGTGTGTGTGTGTGTGTGTGTGTGTGTGTGTGTGTGTGTGTGTGTGTGTGTGTGTGTGTGTGTGTGTGTGTGTGTGTGTGTGTGTATATTACCGATATATCGACCCCCCAGTCGGTAGTATAGCGTTATTCTCACGTCGCCATGATATTTTTGGCATTGGAAAACCACCCGCGTAGCATTCCATTTTAGCACCTGGAAATTATATATTATATGTATATAAATAAAAGTACACTAAGTTAATATACTAGCAGATTATGAAAAAAGTTTAAGCTGAATAATTTTCAATACTAATGACTCTTAAGGTATTTTTTTTTCATTAAGTAATTATTTAGTGTTATATTATTACCGATAGTGAAAATATTACCTTAAATGTCGTTAATATATAAAATATTACATCTTAAATTTTCTTCTGATAATCCACTTCCAAAGTAAATATGAAGAATTATAGGTTTAGAGATGATTTATTTCCCATTAAGAACAATGTTCACTTACATAGGAAACTTAAACGAGTAATATAATAATAAACATTTATGAAGTTAGTGGTGACCTTATTTATACAAACATTCAAATATTATAAAGTTTGACAGTGCGTTTTTAATTTAGCCTTAAATTTCAAAAAAGACTTTTCGTTAAATATTTCTTTCGGTAGATTATTGTACATTAGCGCTCCCTCAAATTGTATAGTTTTGTTACCATAATGTTTAGTTCTAGACTAAGGTATTTGTAATTTATGTATATTTAGTCACTCGGATTTGCACTATGCCAGATGGTATGTTATTAAAATCTTAGAAAATTTACTGCTGAACAGATTTTGATATAACTCACTTTCCCCTTCACTGGCTACGATAGATCTTGTTGAATTATCAGATATGATGGGTGGTCGCCTCACTTGTAGTTCCACTTCACCAGTAATTTTGCTGTTAGCGTTTATTAAAACTTGGCATTGGTACCAACCGGCATCTGTTTCTTGAATGTCTTTGATCTGGAAATAATTATTATATATATTAATATAATTACTAATATTATAAATGAGAAAGTAACTCTGTCTGTCTGTTACGCTTTCACGTCTAAACCACTGAATAGATTTTAATGAAATTTGGTACAGAGATGGAGTTGACCTTGAGAAAGAACATGGGATAGTTTTTATCACAGACTTGTAAGGTTCTCTTGGTAACGATATAACCGAATTCCACGCGGGCGAAGCTGCGGGCGGAAAGCTAGTTAAATATATAAATGATACTAATATTTTCCGATTACTAGGAGATGTCATCTCGTCTTAATGATCACGGTTGCTGTAAAGGAACCGAAACTTCGAGATCATGTAGATATAGAATAAGAAACACGTAGTATACGAAAATTATAGTTTCATTTAAATGAATACTTGCGAAATTCTTAGATCTGATTCTTGTAATATTGTGCAACATGTGTTTTGCTATTTAACAAAAAATCTACTTCACTGATTTTGATGAAACTTTAAAATTATATAGTTTTAATATCAGATAGGAGCATAGATATAATTTATCGCTTTATTCTGTGTAATCATCTAGGTATATCAATTGTGTTTAGTATGGGGTTGAGTGAAAAATATTGAGGTCAATTGAGTTAATGTTTGTTCTTAATTGATATAGCAATGTGTGTCACGTGAGAGGTTTCAGTTTTCACGAACATACCGACAGTGTGTAAGTAGCGGACGCTTCATCAAAACGAAGAGAAAATCTCGAATCACGGATGATGAGTCCAGAATTCATTGACAGTGGTAGCGACTGGGTACTCTTCATCTGGTCGTATTTTAACTGGAAATTAATAAAATATATAATTAGTATATATACCGATAAGTCCTATTTATTATTAAGTCAGTGGTGGCTCAGTGGTTAAAGGGTCCGCCTCTCGGCCTCTCGTCGCCGAGGGCGCGGGTTTGATCCCGGCCCGGGCAAGTACCAATGTGATTTTTCGGAATCATATGTACTTTCTAAGAGTATTTAGACATCACTGATTAATATTGATTCCCAAAAAAGGGTTGATGTCAGGCAGGCGGCCGGTCGTAAAAACAATTAGCCAAAACTATTCACAACATGTAAGGCAGACCCTGGCTATAGCTGGGAAATTGCCAGGTAGAAGAAGAAGATCGATAAGTCCTATATATAGGGCTAATGTAGCAATTTAGCCATTATCATTTTTTTGCTTTAACCACTTCAAAAAAATACGTTTGTTGGTGAAAAGACTTAATTTTTATAGCAATAAAAAAGCATTAGTAACATATAAGGGCTTATATAATGTATATTATAAATATATATATTTAAAAAACTATTAGGTTAACAAAAGAGTGTATCAATCTTAAATGTCGTACATGTATGTCATAGTTGATATACAAAGTATCAAAAGCATCAGTTGTATGTACAATACATTGACATCAAACTTACAACGTCTCTACTGAACAATTGTCCTTTGCACATTGGCATATATATATATATATAATTATACTTGTATTGTCTGTTTGTCATATAAAACAACTGCCTTGTACTACTTCTGTACATATATACATTTGTAACACATAATATACATACAAGATTTCTTATTATTAAAATGTTCTTAATAATAATTATACATAAAATTATATTTTTTTATATATATCTATCACTTTTACCAAGTTATTTTTAATCTAAGTTTTCACTATAATTATAAATACAAAGTTTTTCACGTTTTTCGTAATCAATACTCTTTACTTTACGTGTGTAGTGTACTCAAACTTGTAGTAAGCACAATGAACATCAAGATGAATGTAACTACATACTAAACTCATTGCAAATTAAGCCAATTAGTCTTAATTAAAAACATCATCTATTTTAAGACTGAATTTTGACCTTTACTTGTTAAATAAAGTTTGTTAATGCATTAAAAATAGTATATATAAAAATGCATATGTATATTATTTATCTATTTGTAAAGATAAAAGGCAGAAATCTGTGTTATAGTAAGTTTTTTAAAGAAAATACATACATTTTTATTTATATAAGTAACTAATATACAAATTATAGTTTCTGTGATTAAAAACTGGCATATTGAATATACATAGCACTTTTATGAATTATTTAGAAAATTCTTGATAAAAAAATCTCAAAATATACAACCACTTAATGTTCAATATATTTACATAATCAGGTTTAATTTGCAGAGTGCAAATTAATTGCAATAAGCAATTAATTGCAGGACTGCAATTAATTAATTTATATATTCATCAATATTAATAGAATTTAATAGATAGTTATAACAAGTTTTTCCAAAGAGGATTTATGTCAGGCAGGCGGCCGGTCATAAAAACAATTAGCCAAAACAATTCACAACCATGTAAGGCAGACCCTGGCTATAGCTGGGAAATTGCCAGGTAGAAGAAGAGGACAATAGGTAGTTATAACATATTTATATGTACCATAAGTTTTAACTGTGTTTCCATACATAATGTATAGTTTTTGTATTTATAAGGATATTTGTTCATAATTTTATAGCATTTGGCTATTACTCTACTTGATGGAAAGTAGAGATGTAGCCATCGGCAATCTGTAGTTTATAAAAAGACTATCTAATTAAAAGTCTTCTTGAAGGTAACATTTTAAGTTATGTTATAGACACAAATTTCTGTCTCATACATATATGTTACCATGGTTGAAAAACTTGAAATTCTTATTTAATTACAGAAATTAATTAATAGTTAGGTTTAAAGAAGTTTATTTCCAAAAAGAACAAAGTTCGCTTACAAAGGAAATTTTAAAATTATAACTACAATTAAGATATTACAATTAATAAACAGTAGTGATATTAAACAAGATCAGTGAAATCATCTAATATATGGGTTCTTAATCGTTTTTAAATATATTTAGAGATTTTGAATTGACAACACTTAGATGCAGTATACAGCTGTGCTCCTTCAAAATAGTTACCGAGCACTAATTCAACATTACATAAAAAATATGATTAAAGTCAGTGGTGGCTCAGTGGTTAAAGGGTCCGCCTCTCGGCCTCTCGTCGCCGAGGGCGCGGGTTCGATCCTGGCCCGGGCAAGTACCAATGTGATTTTTCCGAATCATATGTACTTTCTAAGAGTATTTAGACATCACTGATTAATGTTAGTTCCCAAAAAAGGGTTGATGTCAGGCAGGCGGCCGGTCGTAAAAACAAATAGCCAAAAACTATTCACAACATGTAAGGCAGACCCTGGCTATAGCTGGGAAATTGCCAGGTAGAAGAAGAAGACAAAATATGATTAATATGAAAAGCTGTTCAAGAATGTTCGATTTCATCGGAGAGTGACTTACCCAAAGAACGGGATATTCCTGAGCATAATGTACCGAGCAATCCAGATCCACTTGACTTCCAATATCTTTGATCTGTTCTTGGGTTATATGAGATATAGTTGGCGTTCTTTGACCAGAAACTGTTGATAAAACATACATTTAATACTATACCATTGATATGACGTTGTGTATGTAACATATTTTACGTAAATTCATTGATTTTATTAATCATTAACATTTATTTTAAATTCTAAGATTTTAGTGAGTAAATTGAGTATTAAGCAAAATAAATCGAAATGATTTTATATAAAGCAATAGGGTATATGAAAAAGGACAAGAGAGTAAAGTAAAATTTAATTTCATATCATTTTGAGATATTACGTGTTAATGAAGTATAAAGCTTATATGAATATGAATTACTAATAGATTCTAAAGTTATACATTTTTTAAGATAAATTTCCGTTACTACTTTCTATGTAGGACGCTAAAAAATCGATAAAGTTGACACTCATTTCCCGCGTTACATTATCTAAATATTGTAATCAAAATAAACGTAAATACTTATTTATATAAATATTAAATAAAAGGAGTTTCATTTGAAACTATTTAAATGTATTTTATAATATAAAAAACGTTTTTTAGAATAAAAATAACGTCTATTATTTTAAATTTAAGAAAATATTCAAAAATTAAAACAATAAATGAGGGGGTTTAAAATGTCGGCAACACATCGCGACATCGCGTTTTAAGTATTTTCGATTTAAAAATATAGGGAGAACTAAAAAAAAGCAAATTTTTTTCAAAAATACGTTCAAGGGTGTGTCTTTCAACGTCACGACTAGTAAACATTCGGTGATCGGCATTATTTTTGTTAACTATATAAACGTATTATTATGCGATATTTATTAAACTTATATCAAATGTTATAAAAGAAATTTAATATATTGCAATAAATTTTACTCACCGGATAATGATATACACGAAATCACAGTAAAACATTTTAATATTGAGAACGCCATGGCATAAACGACTACAACCACACCTCAGTTCACAGTTGCTATTAGAACCTGCTTTGACCATTGAATGGATTTCACTCTTTGTTTGAATAACGTTCCGTTCGACGCTTTGTATATTAAAAAAAACTATGATTTAATTTACTTATAATTTTTTTTTGTTTTTATAACAAAAATATGTTTAAAATATTACATAATATTTAATAAATTATTGTATAAAATAACAAAATATCTACTCCAACAGAGGGCGCTGTTACAATTAAATGGATAACTATTTCAAGGCTAAACAAATATTAATTAACTTTGTAAATACTATTTTGCTGTAAAGTCTAGTAAAGACGACTACCATTTAATATTGAATAATCGTATTCATAGAAAGAGAGACCGTTTGGTAAGTTTAATACTTTTTATTGAAAAATATGTCCAATAAAACTTGAACAACGAAACATTTTAGACAGGTGGCGAAAATTCGGGTAGCTTAACTAGTAAAATTAATGACATATGCAATCAATGAAAATATTTTAAATTCTAATATGTAGTATAAAATTTATATTTACGACGTGCATTAAGTATTTATTGGGCAAAAATATTAAGTTATTTAAAATAAAATTTATATAATATATCACTCGGATAACTAAGAAATATACATATAAATTAAATTGGAACTTGTTGCATATACCATGTTCAGGGGCAAATGCAATAATTTCGATAAATTTTTCAGGAGTTTAGATAATTTCGGGTCGGAGGTAATAGTAACAAAAATGCGAAAATTGAATTAACTTTGGCTTTTTACTTAAGATAGATCGCCATTATTCCTTAGTTGTTGAGCCGTAAGCACATCCTATTTAAATTTAATAATAAAAAACATTTAATAAATAGAACGTAAGAAAATTGTATCTAAATATTAAATTGTTTCTATATTTTTATGGTATTATGTTGTCTATGATAGCAAATTCATTTAATACGAATTATTTTACTAAAAATATGTTTTTAAATGTGTCATAAAAGATAAATATTTTTATTACTCGATAGACATTAAAATATATATATTTTTTTAAAGAATGCCAAATAATAAATTTCAATCGTCATTTAAAACCTTTTTGCTTACAAACTATTTAATATTTGTCTATGGTAAAATTTAGTATGTTTTATCTTTGAATGATTGTGTTTATTTTTAAATTGCCTCCAATTAAAAATTATTGTCAGTTGATTGGCAATTGGGTCTTTTGAAATTCTGTACTGGATCGTATGACTTACATTACTGTGTTATTAAATTTAAGAATAACCCAATATATGTATATGTAAAATTATTATTTTTTGATAGAACCTTACAGAAGTCTTTATTCATTTATTTATCTTATTCTCAAAAGCTTTGTAGGTAATTTTAAAATGTCTAAATATGGCAACATTTTAGATGTATATCGAAATAAATGCGAATAAGATAATTGTTTTATTTCAATATTTTCCGAGTTATAACAAAGTCCTTTTTGTAACAGATATTTAATAGATATTAATTATTAAACCTTATTATGGTCAGAGCAAATAGAGGCAGTAATTTACTTCTCATTGCCTTGTAGATAGCAAAATATTTTCATCTCGTTTTATAAGATGGTTAAATTTGTTGGTTGGGTCTATTGAATTTTTAGAGACGAGGGAGATTAGCGTGGAATACCAGCGCACCTAAGAAGTGAAATCGTTATGTTGGAATGAAAACAGGAAAGAGTAGACATTGATTTTTAATGATTTTTTTCTGTTTTTCTTAAACTAAATTTATTAACATAACTTCCAAGTCACAATTGATTGTCAACATGCGTTCGAGCGCCACGCATTTCCTCTCGCTGTCTTTTTAAGCCCTCCAGAAGCGTAAAATATTTAACGCAACCCCCTTGGAAGTTGCATGAGAAGTTTCAATACAAATAGGTTTCAATAAATTAATATTCTTTTAGACCAAAAAGATTTAGAGTTACCACTGATGAATTTCTCCAACCAAAGAGACTTAAACGAAAAATGAACTTGTAACTTATGTTTCATTGTGTCTTTACGAGTATACAGGGTGACTGGTGAATTACTATCGATACTTGAGGACGTGATATTTGACGATCATATATGACGAAATAAAAATTAATATAACATAAATATTAATAAACTTCTAACTAAAGTTAACCAAAAGTTGTGTAATTAATTACGCATCGTATGAACACCCTACAGATTAGGTATACACACACACTCACACATACGCGCGCGCGGCGTGTTGTTGTATCAGCACGCCGCCGCACGCGTCCACACTTGGAACACTTGGAACGTGTCAACACTTTATTTATTTATACGGAAATTTTGTCAAAAATTAAGTACCTATTTTTTTACATAATTCGAATGAGAATCATGTACCGAGTATCCTCCTTAAATATTGATAGTAATTCACCAGTCACCCTGTATAGACAATAGAGCGATATAAATAGCGGACAAAGTCAGTCAGAATCATAGTCTTAGTTGGTTGGTTGTTCAAAATATGGCCTTCATCACTGCAAATACGTGCACAGTATATTCTTTCAGTGTCGTGTACAATTGAGACACGATCCGGGATTAACTTAAATGAAATAAAATTTAACAGATTTAAATGAATTCACAATTAGGAACTTTGTTAATTAAAACACAAATTCAATTATATGCAAACATAGGATATATTGTCAATGATGGCCTAGTGGTTAAAGGGCCCGTGTCTCATACATGAGGCCGCGGGTTTTATCCTGGCAGGTACCAATGTGATTTTTCCAAGTCATATGTACTTTATAAGAATATTTAGACACCACTGACATACGGTGAAGGAAAATATCGGAAGAAACCTGGACTTATAATTTCACAATTATAAGTTTGAAATCACCAACCCGTTAAGCAAGCGTAGTGATAAATGCTCAAACCTTCTCCATGTGAGAAGAGGCTCAGCAGTGGGCTCTGATAGGCTGATAAATATAGGAGATATATACTGTATAAAAAAATGTATAACAAGAACATATAGTAAATAATACTATGTTTATCGCATTCATTATTTATAATTCAAAATTTTCCCAGACCTCTTGTTTATTTTGACGTAACAGCGATTACGGGCAGACAGATAGGTCTTTATTTTATTACATTTACTAATCTACAGTTATAAATCACTAGCTTTCCGCCCGCAGCTTCGCCCGCGTGGAGTACGGTTATATCGCGTTTCCAAGAGAACCTTTCAAAAGTCTGTGACAAAAACTATCCTATGTTCTTTCTCAAGGACAACTCTATGTCTGCACCAAATTTCATTAAAATCAGTTCAGTACCTTAGGCGTGAAAGCGTATCAGACAGACAGAGTTACTTTCGCATTGATAATATTAGTAGGGATTATAGATAATATTAAGAATGCGAGATTTTTTTTGAATGATAATGGATAGTATGGGAAAGAAATGAAAAACCTTGTTTGAATGTCTTGGTGTGTTAGGCAATTTTTTATATCAAATAGATGGTCCACTTTTATTTATTGTATATATATATATATTCTATACGTGTTGGTAGGCGGTAATGAAATCGTAGGTGGTGAATACACTATCAAAATACTTATCTTATCTGTTAGAAGTTAAAATATGTTTTTATTAACTTATATATAACACTAGTTTTTGACTGCGATTTCGTCAGCCTATACATAGAAAATGTTTTTTTTATATATGAAAAGTTTCAAACGAGCAGTCGGACTATTTGTTGGACAGTCACCGTCACCCATGGACATCCACAAAATAATGTTGTAGATGCGTTGCCAACCATTTTTTTTAATGATGTAGTGGAAACTCTTTTTACGAGCCGTCCAACCAGCCTTGGTGGGGCCGGAAGGGATGTGTGAGGCTCGGCCTGGGCAGGCCCCTACTCACTAAAATCACTGCGAAAGCCATCGGCCGCTATGTCGGTGTACCCCGACAATGCGTTGCCAACCATGATTATTGAGGTAAAGAGAGGGGTAATAAGGAAATCGCAGGAAAGGGTGGGAACAGGGAAAGGGCAATCGTCTCTCTCACTCATCGGACGAAACGCAGCCATTAATGGCTACTTCACGCCGATCTTCTGTGAGAGGGTGGTACTTACGGTCGAGACAGAACATGTTCGAGCTGTAGTAACTTGACCAC